GGCTTATAAATATGCACATATGTATATAATTAATCCAAACGATAGAGATGTTTGTTGAATTTTAAAAAAGAAGGAACATAGCTCAAGAATTGTCAAGAAATGTTGAACATGTCTTTTATCAATGAAACCAGCTCCAGTCATTATAATCAACTAAAAACATAATCATACACATAGTAAATAAACACATCAGTGCTGCTGTACCTGAACATGGTTGACAGAGTTGACTGATGTTCAGATGTTGAGTCTGGTTGCTGATGGGATTGTTGAGCACACAGCTGTAGCTGTTTTTATCCTGATATTCCACCTCCAGAGGTAGAGAGAGACTGATGCTGAGATCAGACACACTGATGCTGGACAATAAACTGTTTCCTTTGTACCAGGAGAGAGTCACATGACCCACATTCACCACTGAACACACCAATGAACAATTCTGCTGTGATGATGATGATGATGAAGAACAGTTTGAAGAGTTACTGCTGATGACAGGAATGAGCAGATGAGCTGAAAAATATTAGAAACATCGGAGTAAATCATGCTGTTTCTTGTGCTGAGTGAGATTCTGTGATGTCATTCAGTGAGTGTTTGTGATTTCAGATTTTTTTTTTATTACATTGTCTGAGATGCCAACCTTGGCATAATTAATCAAAAGAAAACTGTTTAATAGGTTTCAAATTAAAGTAAAAATGAATGTGTATCTCAAATGTTATCATTTTTTAGATTGAAAAGGCTGTATATAATGATATTTAACTCACCATAGACAGTGAGACTGAAGCTCTTGCTCACACTGTTGGTCTGTAGTTGATAGAGTCCAGCATGTTGAGTTGTGATGTTTGTGATGGTCAGAGATACAGTTTGATGATCCACCTTCAGTCTGTCTCTGAATCTCTCATCAAGAACATCATCATATACAGTCATGCTGCTGACCATTACATCGATTTCAGCTATTAAAGTGTTTTCATTTCCAAACCTCCACAGAATCACATATTCATCCATCATTTCAGTGAAACCAGAGTTTAGAGTGACTGAATCTCCCTCCAGCACTGACACTGACTCCACTGCATCAACACCAAATATACCTGGAGAAAAAAGTAAGATTTGTCAGAGATTAAAAGGTAAACAAATTTGTGGCGGTTAAGTAGTTTGTATATTTACATGAAAACACGTGTCCTTTGCAATAAGAGATTCTGATTCCACACAAATACTCAACAATAAAACAATTTATGGGCAAAAAAAGTTACTTTGAGAATGTAAAACTCTCATTACTTTACATATTTAATGGGATATTCACATGAATCCATTTTTATGGAGTTGGTGAGCTCATATGAACAGGCTGACTAAACTTGTCCTTAATTTGATTTCCTGTGATGATAGACCTAAATCCAATAATATCCCTGTTCGATTTCAGAATATCTTTTTTAATGGATAGCAAATGCAAATCTATCTTATTATAATATAAAGCAAAGCTTGAACTAAATCAGCAACAACATTCAATTAAAAAGCATAAAACATACATTTCCAACTTACCTTCCAGTTGCAACAAGCACAAGCAGAACAAAAGGACAACATGAACCATTTTCTTTGAGCATGCCAACATTATAATGAAAATCTCTAGAAGCAGGCTGTTTAGACAGAAGTGTGATATAAGTGTGTGTGTGTGTGGATCCTCCCCCAACAGGGTTCGACCACCCTTCACTGACCACACACTAGGGTTTCACTTAAATTACAGCTAATATAGCATTTATTAAGACTCAGTGGCATAACACATTCTCCAACCCAGGCAGATGGTATATAATTATTGCAGTTTGTTATTTCAGCCTGTCATTATTCTTTGAGCCAGTGTCTCTCTGCGTGTATACCTATATATTACAGACCAGAACAAGAAGAATTAGTGTCATGGAATAAATGTATAACTTCACTTATAATGCTCAAGCTGTGTGGAATATGTTAGTGTCCATGGGGGATACGTAAGAATAATATTGTGTACCTTTGACTCTTTTTGGACTATTTCTCAAACATCAGTAAAGCTGTTTTGTTTTGTTTTTTTGTAAAAAGGAAGTCAGAATGTGAGGTTCCTATTTAAAAGAAAGGAAATGAAGACACTTTTTACCCACAAACTACTGACACACGCATAAACTCGCATCCAATAATACGCACAGGTTTTCCAGCCATCTGGTCAAACTACATTTCCAATGAACAATTCTGCTGTGATGATGATGATGATGAAGAACAGTTTGAAGAGTTACTGCTGATGACAGGAATGAGCAGATGAGCTGAAAAATATTAGAAACATCGGAGTAAATCATGCTGTTTCTTGTGCTGAGTGAGATTCTGTGATGTCATTCAGTGAGTGTTTGTGATTTCAGATTTTTTTTTTATTACATTGTCTGAGATGCCAACCTTGGCATAATTAATCAAAAGAAAACTGTTTAATAGGTTTCAAATTAAAGTAAAAATGAATGTGTATCTCAAATGTTATCATTTTTTAGATTGAAAAGGCTGTATATAATGATATTTAACTCACCATAGACAGTGAGACTGAAGCTCTTGCTCACACTGTTGGTCTGTAGTTGATAGAGTCCAGCATGTTGAGTTGTGATGTTTGTGATGGTCAGAGATACAGTTTGATGATCCACCTTCAGTCTGTCTCTGAATCTCTCATCAAGAACATCATCATATACAGTCATGCTGCTGACCATTACATCGATTTCAGCTATTAAAGTGTTTTCATTTCCAAACCTCCACAGAATCACATATTCATCCATCATTTCAGTGAAACCAGAGTTTAGAGTGACTGAATCTCCCTCCAGCACTGACACTGACTCCACTGCATCAACACCAAATATACCTGGAGAAAAAAGTAAGATTTGTCAGAGATTAAAAGGTAAACAAATTTGTGGCGGTTAAGTAGTTTGTATATTTACATGAAAACACGTGTCCTTTGCAATAAGAGATTCTGATTCCACACAAATACTCAACAATAAAACAATTTATGGGCAAAAAAAGTTACTTTGAGAATGTAAAACTCTCATTACTTTACATATTTAATGGGATATTCACATGAATCCATTTTTATGGAGTTGGTGAGCTCATATGAACAGGCTGACTAAACTTGTCCTTAATTTGATTTCCTGTGATGATAGACCTAAATCCAATAATATCCCTGTTCGATTTCAGAATATCTTTTTTAATGGATAGCAAATGCAAATCTATCTTATTATAATATAAAGCAAAGCTTGAACTAAATCAGCAACAACATTCAATTAAAAAGCATAAAACATACATTTCCAACTTACCTTCCAGTTGCAACAAGCACAAGCAGAACAAAAGGACAACATGAACCATTTTCTTTGAGCATGCCAACATTATAATGAAAATCTCTAGAAGCAGGCTGTTTAGACAGAAGTGTGATATAAGTGTGTGTGTGTGTGGATCCTCCCCCAACAGGGTTCGACCACCCTTCACTGACCACACACTAGGGTTTCACTTAAATTACAGCTAATATAGCATTTATTAAGACTCAGTGGCATAACACATTCTCCAACCCAGGCAGATGGTATATAATTATTGCAGTTTGTTATTTCAGCCTGTCATTATTCTTTGAGCCAGTGTCTCTCTGCGTGTATACCTATATATTACAGACCAGAACAAGAAGAATTAGTGTCATGGAATAAATGTATAACTTCACTTATAATGCTCAAGCTGTGTGGAATATGTTAGTGTCCATGGGGGATACGTAAGAATAATATTGTGTACCTTTGACTCTTTTTGGACTATTTCTCAAACATCAGTAAAGCTGTTTTGTTTTGTTTTTTTGTAAAAAGGAAGTCAGAATGTGAGGTTCCTATTTAAAAGAAAGGAAATGAAGACACTTTTTACCCACAAACTACTGACACACGCATAAACTCGCATCCAATAATACGCACAGGTTTTCCAGCCATCTGGTCAAACTACATTTCTCTGTAAATAAATGTGACCACAGAATGTTTCACTTTGACAAACAGAGCTGCTGGTGTGGCATGAGGTGATTCGCGTTCATTCTCTTCGCTAGAAAAAAAAACTTTTTTTTGTGTAGAAAAAAAAACTTTTTTTTTTCTTGGCCTGTTTCATTTGAGTGTGGTTATAAACAAAAAATCTTGTCTGTGTTCGAATGCAACCACAGTGGTGGGCTGAAAATGTTTCTTATTTTGTCATTCTTATGTTTTCAGGATTTTACACATTCGGGCCTATTTACAAATCAGTTGTGAACATGTTTTAATTTTCTCATGAAGCCGCACTGATATGCTATATAGCAACTACATAAAAAAAATATATATATTAATTGAAAATGTGCAGTTTGCTTGTGTTAAAAGTTGCTTCGGACAAATTACACACGTGCGTAAATGCATCACCCACATTCACAGGATAAAGTTAGGCTACTCCATGAATTGCATCGTGATTCAGTCCATTACAACAGTTTTCTTTAGGCGAGCTTCCCGTGAATCAGACAGCACTTCCGTTGTTATGTTTTAAGTCCACTTTACTATCTCTGGCAGCATGCACAAAGGACAGTTTGAACGAAACGAAACGAAACAAAACGAAACGTAACTTTGCCATTGATCACGTGATTTTTGGAGAAACGATGCAATGCGAAACTTAAATTGCGCTGCATACTCAATATACGTACTTTTCTCTTTGTTTCATACGTAACATCACTAAAAAATGGTCTTCACTGGTTTAGGCTGGTCTCCCTGATTAACTAGATGAACTCCTTTAAAGCAGAAAACAGACCCCTTTGCTGCACACGAGCTAAATCCAGCAAACAAGCTGAGGCTGGTTTAAGATGTTTTTCAGCAGGGCTAAAAAGTCCAAAATAGTCACTTAGAATTATGACAAAATTGCATTGTGGATATCATACTTCATGTTTTGTTGTAATTGTTATGAGTTGACATTATACAACGCTTTGCCCCGCCTTCGGGAATAAAAGCACACACACACACCTAGGTTATATCACAATCATGTAAAGGAACATCGCAACCAATACGTAATACATGTCCTTTATTGTTTCTTCTCCTTTTTCTTTACGTGTTTTTTTCTTTCTTTACACTTAATTACAAAAACAAGTTAAAAGCAACTAGCCTACTTTCTAATCGTTGAAAAGAAGGACATCACGGTTAGAAAAGTAGAAATGCTGTCTTAATTCAATTTATTTGATTGACTTGGTGCAGAAAAATCAATGGAAGTCTTGGTCTTGCTCACTCTGTTTGTTCTTGTCGCTGAAGGTAAGTTAACCTAGTCTATACTTGAATTTTCAACCTTTTCTGTTTTGAACGATCGGTTTCATTTCTCATCAACTCGGTCTTTCTCTTAACCCTTTGTCTTCTGTTTTTCTCGTCGCTGTTTTGAATAATTTCGTGTAATTTAGGCAAATGAAGTCAAATGATTTTCAGTCTTGAAAAAAAGAAAAGATGACTAACTGGTTCTCATGGCTTTGGTTCTATTTAACGTATAAACCTTTCTTTATGTTTTAGTCATTCACTTTAAAAAAATAAACAAATTACAAAATGTAGCTGATGGTGCATTATAATTTTGCATTTGACATAGGCCTATCTGTGTCATATCAAATAAAACTGAGAACGTTTTAAAATAAACAGTAGTTTATTTATTTATTTATTTTTATGTGCATCAAGAGATCATGTAATGTATTTTAGTCCATCACGGTTTGAGTGTCTGAGGCTGTAAAAAAAATATTTTCCCCCTGAAATCTGAAATCTTCTATCTGTGACGTTTAGTTTAGTTTCCATTGCCATGGAGTTTCCATTCTTGCTTGTGTTTGTATGTTCGTTATTCCTTTGTTCCAGTGTCTACTGTATGTTTTCTGTCCACGTCCTCTGACTGGGAATAATTTGTTTCTACAAGCGTGTTTCAATAAGTGTGTTCGACTTGAAACAGCGCTGCGCAGGTCGATCGTTGTATGACATCAAATTACCATGAGAGCTCTGGGGCCCTATCATACACCCGGCGCAAGGCACGGCGCAAGTGTTTTTTGCTAATTTTGGCCCGACGCAGTTCTCATTTTCCCGTCCTGCGGCGCATTGTTTAAATAGCAAATGCATTTGCGCCCATTTGTGCGCCCATGGTCGTGCTGGTCTAAAAAAGAGGTGTGTTCAGGCGCATTGTTGGCGCGTTGCTATTTTGAGGCAACTGAGAATAGACTTTGCCATAGACCAACTCAAACCTGGTCTAAAGTCTGGCGCAAAAATTTTTATTTGTTATTTAAAGAGCGCAATAGTAATATGTGGCTATAGGCAGGTGCACAACACGTCTACACTTTGCTTATTACACACACAGGGACGCGCAGCAGCACACAAACATTTTTAAAAATGAAAAATTACATTCTGCCATGTAAATAGCGAACCCGCCATGGCGCGAGCGCA